CAATGACTTCCTAAGCAACTACCCACTGGGGAAGGATCATTTTTAGCCACCCCAGTATTAAAAATCAAGTCAAGTACAGATAGGTGTGCTTTTAGATATATAATATTCTGTATATATGTTTGTTTGGTTGTGTATATATATATATATAGATATATATATATATATATATAATATATATAGCTTATATATACATATAATTATAAATTTATATTCATGTATAATCACCTACCACTGTTCAATTGTCAACATATATTTTGATTTGTCTCTATACTATATTATGTAATTTAAATGTACTTATTTCACCTGCCATTTTTTTGGTTTTGATCTCGGTTAATATGTGATTTATATATGTGTGTAAATACAAGTAATGAATGCATAAATAGTTTAGTATAAAACACGTATATTATATTATGTATAAACCCTATTAAAATTTGTATATAGTATATATATATGTATATATACAACTGCGTGTGTGTGTCTGTACATATATACATAATTAATAATATATATACGTAGTAAATGTATATAATATCAAACACAGACACAAATGTTCATAATATTTACATATTTATAAAAAATTGTATTACATATCTATGAAACACATTCCTGACTCCTTTGGCAAGAAAAACATACTCCATTTATGTCAATTTTACTCTTAAACTACGATTACTACCTCCTTATTTTTTTTTTTTTTATCAAGCTCCTCCTAATGTTACTTATAGAGATTTTTGTTAAATTTGTAAAATTCAGTTTCTTAATTGACCTTACACACTATTGCTTTTTTGTTTCGTGAATTTTAAATGATTTGGAAGCTTAAACTTTTGTTTGTATAGATACACATTTTATATTATAATAGATATACATATAAGTATTAATTATTGTGATATGTTTGATAAGCGAGACATTTTATGTATAATTATATTTATTCATTTTATATGGATATATATGTTATATACATGTATCTATATTTTATGATGTAGTATATATATTATAAATATGTACATTGTATGTGTATATTTAGGTATATATCAACAAACAAACGCCATCAAAAAGCGCACACCACGCCGTTGGCCCGCCACAAACACGGTATGTGTGTGTGTTACATAGCTAACTACATGTGTGATATATATGTATTACTTAATATTATATATACAACTGATGTCTGTAAGTGTTTTTTAGTGTCTAACATATAAACCGCGTGTTTGCGTGTGCCTGTGCACAATCATGCACACAGTGGGAGTCCTGTCATCGATATGAGGTGGGTTGTGGACCATTTAACAATGATTACCTAACCAACTTACTCCCTGGGAAGGGATCATTTGTAGCCACCCCAGTATAAAAATCCCGTTCAGTACATATATGTAGCTTTTATATATATATTCTGTAGATATGTTTGTCCCATTTGTCTGTATATAATATTATGCTTATAGTCTATATAATTATAAATGTAAATATATATGCTAATTCACTAGCAGCTTTATATTGTCAACATGTATTATGATTTGTCTGT